ATAGTTCTTTGGAGCCATCTGCAGTTGACTTCAAATTTTTTAGTACAGCACGTAGACGTTCGGGTGTCAGAGACCTCTGAAACAACCCATCTGAAGCATTTGCATATGCCCATCTTACACATTCCAGTAAATCATGAAGAGCGGAGGGTGCACACGGACAATTCATTCAAGATTGTCCCACATTCCACTATCGCTGAGGATCATTCGGGCAGTAAGATGTTCCATTCAGAGGGGTAGTGGCGTAATGAGTACGGATAGGGCGTATACATTGGCTGCTGTGGTCAACCTATGTCCAAGTCAGGGCTTTTATCCTCCCAGACGAGCTTCGTACGAAATGGCCGACCCCAGGGAGAAGGAAGGCTCGGTTGCCCTATGCGGTGGGAAAGAGCGTATCTCTTTGTAATGGAGAAGAAAGCTCGAGGTAGCGAAGCATTTCGAAAGTCCTGGGAAGTATTCATGAGGCCAAGGAATAGCTATGTATGGTAGCGCCCTTCCCTCTACAACTACCACCCAGGGTCAATAGCAGTAAGTAACAGGTAAGGAAAGACTATGATAACAATAAATGAACTTGCACACTTCGTAATAAAAATAGTGGATACTCACGTGAAGCAACTTGTCATTGCTACCTCTTGGGGTATTATGCGGTTTCCTACGCCCATTATCTGACGACACTTGGGTGCTGTCTAGTTCAAGCTCTAAAACAATGAGGTCGTAGAACAGAGATTTGGCAAAGTTTCTCTTGAATTACGCCAATAAAGAACTAGACACACGTATAGTATGAAGCGGAATTGAAATGACACAGTCACTCAGCCCTAGGTGAGACTCGTCCCAAATCTCGTCCTTCCCAGGCTCCATGTCGAACCACCACACCAGAGACGCAAGCATTCCTTCATTGAGCCTTTCAGAGAACATTTATCCCAAGTTATTGGCACAATTGGTGGTACTATACAAGACTAATTTCGGGCTTGATAACGATCCGTATTACTGAGCTGCACGAGAATTCACCGAAGACGCACCAGTAAGGATTCTATCCAGGTCAAATCCTTCATACTGTCTCAGACAGTGAGCGAACCAGTATTCTGATCAGAATTAACATTCGGTAACGAGCAATAGGAGAGTTATTGTTGTAGTCCCTTCTTGGCATACTCTACACATACCGCCGTCTCCCAATTAGGTACAAGACTTGCGGAAAATCGGAAGTTCATCCATCGAATTTCAGCTCATTCTTTATGAGAACCCACTCACGTTCTTTTGACAGTTGAGGAAGCGCTTTTATGTCGCCCTTCTGCATTTCCTTTGACGGGGTTTTCACCAGCTGAAAATACGCAACTGTACAAAATTGGAAAATGAAGAAGTAAAAATGTAATTGTTCAATCACTATGAAGAACTCGTAACTATCCCATGCCACCGTAGTATTAAGAAAATGCTCCCAGTCAACACAACCCATTTTTATCACCAGCAAAGGAAATCTCGGAGATTGCTATAATTCTCTGTGAGTTTTTGTCGAATTACTATTCCCCTAGGCTCTGAAATTGTCTCATGATGGCTTGGTCAAACAGTATAAGCATACAACCGTATTATTGTCATATCCGACATCATCAGGATTTCGTAGACCTTCTATAATATTCAAATCAGAAATCTGAAAGAGAAAATTCTTTCTCAACCCCCTTTTTAGTCCAAAAATATTTTCGAAGAGTGAACAACCTCAAAATAAGCTGCTCTTGTTACAGCTGTAATTAAGGGAGGCCTTGGTTGTGATTTGTATGCAGGCGGCGTTTTTAGGCAAGACAACAACTGAAGACGTTCCTGAAAATCGCATACACATACCCCCGCGTTCCTTTTTTCTAATACCGTTCTCGAATAAGCAAGAGGTAGATTAATAGGCCGATACTCTTACCATCAGTCGCAACCCGAGGCGGTTTGGCTAGAATGATGTATTAACCAGTACTATGACACTATGATACTACTGGTTTGTATTCAAAACCAGTTGGATCGCCCAGCTAACGCCGGGCTCTCCTCCTTCTTATGTAATAGAGACATAGATTGGTACAAACAATCTGCATTTCCTTTCGATCTATATAAAATATAACTATTCCAGTCTAATAATGACTAACACTTTTTATGACTAAGAATCTTTGTGACCACAGTTCATTCATTACAAAAATTTTGACCCACTCAAAGGAGTCAGACTTAGTGAGCGGTCGAAATTGCTTCACATCCGCAAAGAGATAAATTCATTACTTTACCTTGCCAACGAAAATAGCCATACAGCCTTGAATGCCTTACAGAAGTATAGTGGCATCAGGTCCATAATAATCATGCGACGCGTATTTCTTTGAAACCTCCGTTTCACATGAGAAGTTATAATTCAGTATGAATCGGATATCCACTGGTGTAACCGGGTATTATTCACTGATGATCGTTAGGGATATTCACGTAAGGCATGCCACTTGAAAATTTCGGATTAACTGAAGAACTGATTATCCTTTCAACCACTCTACTCAAATGCTCTTTCTGGGAGCATTTACAGTCAACACAATAAGTTCTGTATAAGCCACCATTTCAATGGGCATTTGCATGGGGGTGTTCCGTAAATCGTATGTTTGATGTACATACCGTTCCGAAATTTTCACTCGAACTCAACCGCCAAATTAACCAATGCAGTTTCTTCAAAATTTCAATGCTGCAGGGAGCGTCGGTTCCTCAACTCACCACACCACATAGATTAGCCAGAGCCAGGGATGCCTTCAGTTCTGTAAGAATCTGTTCTCCTCTGGCGAGTTGGGCGTTGATGGTCGTTCGGGATACTCACGTGAAGCATACCTCTTGGAAATTTCGGATCAACTGAAGAATGATAATCCTTTCAACCGCTCTACCCAATACTCTTTCTGGGAGCATCTACAGTCAACACAATCGATTATGTAAGAACCACCATTTTCAATGGGCATTCACCTGGGGGTGTTCCGAAAATCGTATGTTTGATGTACATACCG